AAGTTATCCTGAAAAGCATTGTGTCAATGGGCAGGCATCCAGCAATGGTGTTTGGTTGTTTTCTCAGAGTTAGATGGCTGCCATCTGGCATTGATAGTGAGATGGCGTTGTCATCAGTTTCTAGATGCAGGAAAGGAATGAATCCTCATCTGTTTCCTGTGGATAAGCAAGAGGTTGATAATCTAGTGAAATCTCTTTACCTTAAAGTAAGCAGGCTTGGAATTTGTTTATATAATATAGGCCAGCTCTAACTTTTGTGGCGTTGTAGTAAATTGCTTGAGGGAAGGCTGAGGATGTTAGGAAACTTTCTACTTTGCAAGAATACCTTTAGAAAGATATTTTTCAGGGGGTTTATTGTATCTTTTTGCTATAGTGTTACTGTAGTAAGTTTTACTTTTAAAAGGAAAGAAACCCTCAAGCATTGCCTCTGGAAAGGCATAGAAGAATTATTTGAGGTAGAGTTATCTTTCAAACATTCTTTTAGTATTTTAAAGGAAGTTTTAGATTAATATCAGCATGATCATTGAAGTATAGTTATCTCCATTTAAAACAAAATATGCAAAAACTGTACAGCACATTTCTTGAAAAAAATATTTACAACTTTCCCTGTTTAGAGATGAGGTAATACCATAGATAACTAGTCTGTTTATTATCTGGACAGCATTTCTGCTTTGTCTTTTCCTGGTAACTCATAAATCTTTCAGCTTTTACCATAAATGTTTATCATTTTTCCTGTTTCCAGTTTTTTACAAGTTGCTTTGTCTGTGATCACCTCACAGTACAGGTTCTGCTGTACTGAGGAAGTTGAGCTGGCTGAGGTCTTTGCAAAAAAGGAAGAAATGGTGGGCAACCTCTTGAACTTAAAAAAAAAATGCTGTTCATGGCTGACCCTTGTGACACTTTCCCATTTTCCTTGATCCTGGTTTGTTGGTTTGTTAGATTGTTTTGAACATTTAATGATCCAGCTGCCAGCTTTCAGTAACTGAATTGTATCATTATTGGAGAAATCTGGTTGCACTTTATTAGAGAAAACATCACTGTTTATCTTGTTGTCCTGTTCCTCCCTTGTAATTTTTCCTATTATTGTTTAGAATAACACCCAAGTCTGTCTCAGAAATAGCCTTTAAAAATTCCTGTGTTCAGAATCAGTTTCAAAGGAAAAAAATACCACAAACCTGTGGCAAACAGGGCAAATCTTTTCAGTAAATATTGGGCATGTGGGTTGACTGTGTTCATTTTAAAGCATGCCTTTAATATTTTCTCCTTTCCTTTGACTCTTCAGATGCTCACATAATATGCAAATAATTTTACATGGATACAAAAGAAACATTAAATATATTAAAATCTGCATTTTAATAAAATTGTCAATGTATAATACATATCCTGCAACTGAGAAAGAATGATAAAAAAGCAATAAAAAGTTAATATAGGCACAGAACTATTTAATAACTTCTAATGTTTTACAGTATGATAAAAATAAATCTGGTCTTGAAACTGTTGATATCACAGTAAGAAATGTTCTAGTCTGAGTTTAATGTTTTAGCTATTTAGGAGTAGCAGTCCTGTGTTATTCATATGCATTTTCTATCTCCTTTTTACTCTTGAGATTAAGCTTGTGGGCATGTTTCTTTCTCATTTCAGACGGAGTGGATGTTGAGGATGACCCCTCTTGCTCATGGCCAGCATCATCGCCTTCTAGCAAGGATCAGACTTCCCCGAGCCATGGAGAAGGCTGTGATTTTGGAGAAGAGGAAGGAGGCCCAGGTTTGCCCTATCCATGCCAGTTCTGTGACAAGTCGTTCAGCCGCCTCAGCTACTTAAAGCACCACGAGCAAAGTCACAGTGACAAGCTCCCTTTCAAATGCACATATTGCAGCCGTCTTTTCAAACACAAACGGAGCAGGGACCGCCACATAAAGCTTCATACGGGAGACAAGAAGTATCACTGCAGTGAGTGTGATGCGGCATTCTCAAGGAGCGATCATCTTAAAATTCACTTAAAGACTCATACGTCCAACAAGCCATATAAGTGTGCCATTTGTAGACGTGGGTTCCTGTCATCTAGTTCACTGCATGGACACATGCAGGTTCACGAGAGGAACAAAGATGGCTCCCAGTCCGCTTCCCGGATGGAGGACTGGAAAATGAAAGACACTCAGAAATGCAGTCAGTGTGAAGAAGGCTTTGATTTTCCTGAGGATCTTCAGAAACACATTGCAGAATGTCACCCTGAGTGTTCGCCTAATGAAGACCGATCTGCTCTTCAGTGTGTTTACTGTCATGAACTCTTTGTAGAGGAAACGTCCCTAGTAAATCACATGGAGCAGGCTCATAATGGTGAGAAGAAGAATTCATGCAGCATTTGCTCTGAGAACTTTCACACTGTGGAGGAGCTGTACAGTCACATGGACAGTCACCAGCAGCCAGAGTCGTGCAACCACAGCAACAGCCCATCTTTGGTAACTGTGGGGTACACATCAGTCTCTAGCACTACCCCAGATTCAAATCTCTCGGTGGATAGCTCAACAATGGTGGAAACAGCTCCTCCTATACCAAAAGGTCGTGGAAGAAAGCGAGCAGCTCAGCAAGTGCCAGATATCACTGGTCCTTCAAGTAAGCAGGCAAAAGTTACTTATAGCTGCATTTATTGCAACAAACAGTTGTTTTCCAGCCTTGCAGTTTTGCAGATACACCTGAAAACTATGCATTTAGATAAACCTGAACAAGCCCATATCTGTCAGTATTGTTTGGAGGTATTGCCATCTCTCTACAATCTGAATGAACATCTTAAGCAAGTCCATGAAGCTCCAGACCCAGCACTGATTGTTTCTACCATGCCTGCCATGGTCTACCAGTGCAACTTCTGCTCTGAAGTGTTCAATGACCTCAACACCCTTCAGGAACACATCCGATGTTCTCATGGATTTGCCAATCCTGCTGCTAAGGACAGTAATGCTTTCTTTTGTCCCCATTGCTACATGGGATTTCTTACAGATTCTTCCCTGGAAGAGCATATTAGACAAGTCCATTGTGATCTTAGCAGTTCCCGTTTTGGTTCTCCTGTGCTTGGAACCCCAAAAGATCCAGTGGTGGAAGTGTATTCTTGTTCTTACTGTACCAATTCTCCAATATTTAATAGTGTTCTTAAACTGAACAAGCATATCAAGGAGAACCATAAGAACATTCCTTTGGCGCTGAATTATATCCACAATGGGAAAAAGTCCAGAGCCATGAGTCCATTATCTCCTGTAACCATTGAGCAGACCTCTTTAAAGATGATGCAGGCAGTTGGAGGTGCTCCTGCTCGTCCTGCCGGGGAATATATTTGTAATCAGTGTGGTGCTAAGTATACTTCCTTGGATGGTTTTCAGACTCATTTGAAAACACATCTTGACACTGTCCTGCCAAAACTGACCTGCCCTCAGTGCAACAAGGAATTTCCAAATCAGGAGTCACTGCTGAAGCACGTTACCATTCATTTCATGATCACCTCAACCTACTACATCTGTGAAAGCTGTGACAAGCAGTTTACTTCTGTGGATGACTTGCAGAAACACCTACTAGACATGCATACATTTGTGTTCTTCCGCTGCACCTTGTGCCAAGAGGTTTTTGACTCCAAAGTCTCCATTCAGCTGCACTTGGCTGTGAAGCACAGCAATGAGAAGAAGGTATACAGATGTACATCTTGCAACTGGGATTTCCGCAACGAGACTGACCTGCAGCTTCATGTGAAACACAACCACCTGGAGAACCAAGGCAAAATACACAAGTGCATCTTCTGTGGTGAATCCTTTGGTACGGAGGTGGAGCTGCAGTGTCACATTACTACGCACAGCAAGAAGTACAACTGCAAGTTCTGCAGCAAAGCTTTCCATGCTATCATCTTGCTGGAAAAGCACTTGAGGGAAAAACATTGTGTTTTTGAAACGAAAACTCCAAACTGTGGAACGAATGGGGCATCTGAGCAAGTTCAGAAAGAGGAAGTGGAACTCCAGACCTTGTTGACAAATAGCCAGGAGTCCCATAACAGCCACGATGGCAGTGAAGAAGATGTGGACACATCTGAGCCTATGTATGGCTGTGACATTTGTGGAGCAGCTTACACCATGGAGACTCTCTTGCAGAATCACCAGCTGCGAGACCACAACATTCGACCTGGAGAAAGCGCCATAGTGAAGAAAAAGGCTGAGCTCATTAAAGGGAATTACAAGTGTAATGTGTGTTCTCGAACATTCTTCTCTGAAAATGGGCTTCGAGAGCACATGCAGACACACTTGGGACCAGTGAAACACTATATGTGCCCAATCTGTGGTGAGCGGTTTCCATCTCTTCTGACTCTTACTGAACATAAGGTCACACATAGTAAGAGCCTGGACACTGGAAACTGCAGGATTTGCAAGATGCCACTCCAAAGTGAGGAGGAATTTTTAGAGCATTGCCAAATGCACCCTGACCTGAGGAACTCCTTGACGGGGTTCCGCTGTGTGGTGTGCATGCAGACAGTGACCTCCACGCTGGAACTGAAAATCCACGGCACGTTCCATATGCAGAAAACTGGAAATGGTTCTGCTGTGCAGTCCACAGGACGTGCACAGCATCTCCAGAAACTGTACAAGTGTGCGTCTTGCCTGAAAGAATTCCGTTCGAAACAGGATTTAGTGAAACTTGACATCAACGGTCTGCCATATGGTCTGTGTGCTAGCTGTGTTAATCTCAGTAAAAGTGGTAGTCCAAGTGTCAACATCCCTTCAAGCAGTAACAGACAAGGAATGGGCCAAAATGAGAACTTGAGTTCCATTGAGAACAAAAGCAAGGCAGGGGGACTGAAGACTCGCTGTTCTAGTTGCAATGTAAAGTTTGAATCAGAAACTGAACTCCAAAATCATATTCAGTCAATCCACAGAGAGCTTGTTCCAGACAGCAACAGTACACAGCTGAAAACACCACAAGTATCTCCAATGCCTAGAATCAGCCCCTCACAAACTGAAGAGGTAACCCTTTTTTCTTTGCTCTTGACACCTTCCATCCTTTTGGAAAAAATCTCCCTTTTTTCAAGCTGTCTTGTCACTTGTCATGAAATGCTTAGGCTGATCCATATTACATTTCCATCCACAGCCATTAGCTAGTAATTACCTTCTTCTTGATATGCCTTACATCTTGGATTGAATTTTGCAGAATAGGACTTATTCCAGTCTCCCTAGGATATTGTCTTGTGTATCACTGAGGATACCTATCTTCATGCCAGCACAACTGAGATCTGGAATCTTATCCCAGCTCCCATACGCATTGGAATCCCCAGCTAGGAGTTGTGCTTACGGCACAGAGCATTAATGACAGAGAAGTAGACATAGTGAGCCAAAATGCTGGCATAAGGGGTTGATATTTTAGAAAATATTTGTGAGTAACAAATTGAGGGTATTTTTGTTAATTGTGTTGTAGACTTTCATTTTCCCCTCTTCTAGCATATTTTGATTAAGTAGAAGTGCAAGCTAGCCTAAGGTAAATTGGGAAATCAGTCCTTTAGATGCAATTGCTTGTTTTATTTCTTTCCATTTCTGATGAAGAACATTTTGATGTCACTGAAACACCTAGTGCCTCATGATTGAAATTCCATCATGCAGCATAACTTAAAAAGTACATATCAAACTCTTGAAAGATGTAATCAGCTTCCTCAGTCACCAGTGACCAAGTAATGAAACCTGTATGTGGGGAGGTAAGGGGGTTGTGTACTGAGGGAAGGGAATCAGTTTTATCTTCAGAAATGTTACTATTATATTGACTTAGAGGTAATATTTTAAGCATGGTATCTTGCATCTTATAATTCAGGAAGCCTAAAAACACAGCACAAGAAAATTTTAAGAAATAACAACTTTTGTTTCAAGAAAGCTTTTAGTCTGTAATGATACAAGCATGGTGCAGCCCATTGCTATGAATGTGTATGGATACCCTGTGGCTAGGGAGCTGCTGCTCTTCCATTACCTTCCTCACTCCCTGTTTGTGAGCCCATCTGTTGGGAAAAACATCTCTCAGCATGTTGTCCAACTGGACAGTGTTGTGCAAACTGGAGGGTAGGAGGGAGGCAGAGAGGGAATAGTGAGGATACACCAGCATATGTGGACCAAGAGGGTAAGTATTTATAGAGCTTCTGAGGATGTAGATGAAGATAGGCTGTGAGAAGAACACTGAGGTAGCACAGAGCCTGGAGTACCATGAAAAGAGAACTGGAGCTGAGAGCTCAGGATGAAGTACCAGGCAGGCTGCACCTCCCAGGGAAAGGCCCTGTGCTTTCATAACTTTATCTCCAGTTTGCTCATTGGGTGGTGGTAGGGGACACCTGAGGATGGGGTGTGGTGTGGAATTTATGGAAGGCTGTTAGACTAAGAACCTGAGGTCTCAGGAAAATCATCTTTTTAAAGAAGAGGGAAGAGAAGTGGCTCTCATTAGCTGGGTTTTAGGCCACTGATGATCTCACTGCTGCTGAGTTGGAACCACAGGATTACCAGCTGCATGTTTTAGATAGGTTTAGAGTCATCTTGGTTTCTGTTTCTGCCATCTTGCATCAGGTGACTACATGAAATCCCTCTTCCAATCATGTTGGAAGCCAATTCCTGCTACCTCAATCACAATCAGAATCATGTGTTAAGTCAGTTACCATGCTAAGATGATACCAATTTGTCTTTCTCTTGCTTGTAAACTAGACAAAAAGAGATTTGAGAGTCCGTTGTGATGATGTAAGATCAGTTACCTTCAGTGTCATTAGTGAATCTTCCTGTACTTGGATCAGGTATAATCAGAGTTCTTAGTTATACTGCTAATTGGTATCATGTTCCTCTTCTTAATCCTTTTGGTTTTTATATAAAAATGTATCTAAGATGAAAGAAGTTTTTAAACTATATATTTGTGAATAGCATTTGTCACCTTCAAATCACCATTTACCCCCCACCTCCATTCTGAGGATATAAACTGAGTTTTCAGTGTCTATGATTCTGGTGTCCACATAGTAATGTAGACTTTCAGATTCTTTTCTCATAGGAAGAAAAGGCTATCAAATTCCTGAGAGAGAGAATTAGTAGTTCTGGAAACCATAAATGCACATTTGTAAAATCCTGAAAGATCATTCATTTTTGTAGCAGATGTTACTGGTTCAGATTCTAGTGATGCAAGCTATGTAGCAATGAGAAACAAAATTGAAACACAAACAATAAAAAGAAAAAAGGATTTTTAAAATTTATTATTAGTCACTGGCTGTCATAATCCACTGGAAGGATCTTTCTTGAACTGAAGAACAGTATTAATAATATCAAGGACTCAAAGTTTCATTTGCGTTATTGAGAGTCATGTGATTTGAGATTTCAACCTATATATAAAGAGTATTTATATATAGATTTTAACCTATATATAAAGAGTATTTCACTCATAAGGCAAGAAACATAGGTATCTTGCATATATGAGATGAGTTGTCAGATCATTAATATTGCTGAATACCTCTTTTTACTCAGTAAGAGATTTCAATGATAAGAATATTTGAAAATACCTTTTTAGGATAAAAGATCACACTGGAAGTGTCACTTCTACCTTCTTTGCTGAGTATTCTCATGGCGGAACTAGAAAATTTCTCTTTTTAGTCTGTTCCCAGTGATATGATAGGGTGCAATTACCACAGTATAATGTCTTCAGCTGAGCTGTCACCTGCTGAGCTTACCCCACTTACTGTATGAAAAATGTTGACCTGAATCATCTCTGCTGAAAGTTACTTTTGACTGGGATGGAAAATTATGACTAGTGCTCATCACTGGTTGCAACGAGTCAAGGAGCAGGTCAGAACTCATTAAGTCCATCACACTGCTGAATTTAGTATCCCTAAGTTATCACACAGACTTACACAGGTAGATGAACAGATGAACAGCAGCCTTTGAAAAAGCTCTAAAATGTGTAGATCTTCAAGTTATTCTTTGAGCTTTAATGAGGTGCTGGATTCAGCTGGTTTTAGATTTCTTGTAAAGATCTTGAATCAGACTGCAAGCACACTTTTAGGCTAGGGTGATAACCTTAGTGATAGTTACTGTCTAAAAGCAGAGAACAAGGTCTGGTATGCTGGTGAATTGGGAACTAGACCTTTTTCTGTCACTCATTTGCTTTGCTGACTTGGCCAAAACTGCTTGAACATCTCTGCTTCATTTTCCTTATTCAAAATATAAGCTAGATATTTCCTGAAAAGTATGTTTCCATGTTTACTTACAATACACACTTTGTAAAGCACTTGGAAGATGAAAATCTATTCAAGAAAATCTGTGTGGCCTTGACTCTCTTGTTCTTCCTTAATATGCTGTCAGGCACCTAATGAGAGAACTCTTGACTCAGCAGAAAGTGTGCTCTCACTTCTTAAGCTTCAAGATTCTGTACTTGCTGAATCACACCAGCAGAACAGTGCAATAAATTATATTGTCTGTTTCTTCGATGGCAGGGGAGGAGGGAATGGACTCCAGCTTACACCAACAGTTTAATGTCTGAATTACGGTAGAGCATCCATATGTGCAACTGCACTCAGTTTGGGGTCCTGTTGGTAACTTTCAGAGTAGAAGTATAATTGCTTCTGTATCACTTTGTACCATGAATGTGAAGCTTGTGTGAATACTGTATTACCTGTGGCAATGCAGACAGTCCTTCATTAATAATACAAGAATGCTCTAGGTTTCCTGGTCTTGAGGAGAGAAGGAGCAGCATGAGTACACGGCCAAATTACTTCAGGAGTGAAGATGCTTATTTAGGTGTGGCAAAAGATTTGCAGAAACTCACTGTTTCAAAGAGTATTAAAAATGCTGAATAAAGGCGAGAGCTCGCAACTATCACAGCAGCTGGAGAGCAGAATAAGCGAATCTGGGGCTGCTCTTCTGTCCTGTTGTGGTTGTGCAGAGCCTGTATGCCAGGATGGGCATGTCACAGCAGGGGACACCGGGCACATCACAGCATTGTTCTGCAAGGAGCCACAAAAGTGCAGTCTGACAATGAGCTTGCAGAGATGGGGGTCACAAAATTCAGATGCTGTACAGAGCTGTTGGATCCTTGAAACTCAACTTCTCCAACCTCAGATGAATCCAGAAATGGTATCACCCTGGGAGAACGAATGGAACTCAGGTAGGTGTACTCTTTTATCATTACTGGGTTTTTTCCTCTTTATTTATTTATTCATGGGCTCTGAATCTACCTTTATTCTCTTACTGTTCTTTCCTCTACTTCTCAAAACACTGCCAGACCCACAAAGACAGAAAACAGGAACTGCCTTTTGAAGTAGCTGGTTTATTTCAACAGCATGCACTGGCAGTCAGAGGCGGAAAGAAGAGGGAAAAAACTGTAAGCAACCCAGAAATGTTCCCAGATGCATGCTTTTGGCAGGGCAAGCAATAGCATTTTAGCAATATAAATCACAGTGCTTTTAACTGAAAAAATGCACTGAAATCTATACTCACACATTTAATTGAAATACATAAAGAAATTAAAATAATACTCCTCATCAGCAATCCAAGCTGATCATTCTGACTACAGGATTTTTATGAATAAGCACATAAACTTGTAATGTAAACATAAGTAGTGCCTTGGGTTTCCTGTCAGTGAATCCAGGCCCAGAACAAGTGATTTTCATGCTGTATTTGGATCCAGGAACAGAAAAAGGTAAAGAAGGTTTGTTGCTGGCACAAAGATTTGGCTTTGAAATAGTTTGTGGAACTAATCTGCAACAAACATATTTTCTGCTTCTGGAGTTTCAAAATTATTTCAAAATACCAGTTTTGTCTTCTGGGTCATTTTAACACTTCTTTCAGGAAAGTATTATTTAAAGTGTGACCATATCTATTCTTAGGAAGGGCCAACCTGGGATTTTTTTGCCACAGTAGGCCACCTCCACTTTGCACTATGCTTACATTTCTGGTAGTGCCACTACCATGAATTGTCTGATAAGGTCCATCTTAAGCATTTCTCTTCTCTTTGTCTTAACACTTTTGATGGTGAGCTATCAGGATCCTCTTTGAATTTTACAATAGTATTATTGTTTTCCTGTTGCTATAAATCCTACCAAAGTTAAGCTTCAAACTTCCCACCTCACACACATCATGAGTTCGGTCTGTGAAAGGAAGGGCATATGTTGGCTGGGAGCTGCTGAACAGAAGCAAAGGGGAAATTTGTAGTGAGTTTTCTCAGTTTCCTGTCCACTGATCATTAAAATCTAATGTTGTTTGTCTGTCTTGTTATTTGTCAGAGACTTCACATGGGGAGTTTGGAGATGCATCTTCTTCACAACCATGGAAAACTTTGCAGGAGAGGATGAAAGGATAACATTCTCCAAAATTTTCAAGAGTGCTAAACCAAGATTTCCATAAAATGAACCAGGGCAGAGGATGGGGGGAGGGGGTGAAATGTGTGCTTGAAGAAACACAGAAGAACCAGAGAGGGACACAGGAATGTGGATGAAGTCCTTAAGGATCTCCAGAGAGGGCAAATGTAGATTCAGCAAAACTTTATGAGACGAAACATCCATGAGATGTATACTCCTACAGCTCATCTGTGCAGCCCACTATCCTCTTGGGGCTTTCCCTGTACTTGGACCTGCTGGCCAACTGGCTGGTGTAGAACACCACAATTTCTGCACAGCCCCAGAGGAAAATCACCATAGTGATGAGTGTTTGTATTCTGATCTCAGAACTGGGTAGAAACAAAAAGAAATTTCACACAATTTTCTAGCCTGATCATCTTTAGGAACAATACACAGAAAATCATGACATATCTCTATTTGTCTGCTAGTTTGCATACCTCTAGAGGATTCTCTCACTTCTACCTCTTATTTTTGGTCTACTCTTGGCCAACTTTAGGGAAAAAAATCATAGATTGATAGTAATCTAAAAGCCTTTGAAGTTGTTACAATATTTGGGAAGAGAGGGGACCCAGCAGCTAACAGAATCCAAATAGGAGAGAGGCCTTTAAGAGATCCAAACCAGGAAGATGGCTGTAGCTGAAGTTTATACCTGTTTTATATGTGAAAGTCAAGTGAACACAAGACATGAAGTTATAGGAGGAAACTATGATCTGTTCTTTGCGAGACTCACAAACCAGCTTCTTAAGTGACTGTACATGACAACTGTTTTTCTACTGTTTTTCTATATGACAACTACTCAATAAAGTTGTTATATATGATGTGTGTATTACTTTTCTCGTACAACAAACATAACACCCAGATTTGTTACTTTGACATGAGGGAAATAAAATGGGCTAAACATAAATTTAAAATGGGTATGTAGCCCCAGTACTTCTTGTTTCATAAAGTTATACAAAATGAACATAAGAAAACCACCTGACATGTAGTATCTTGTTAAAGGATACTGTTCTTTGACCTGCCTGAGCTCTGTGATAGCAGATGGTTGATCTTACGCCTGGTGGCTCAAAACTGTGAGGTACCTTTTTTTCCTGCCAAAGCCATCTTTCATTTATACTGTTTCCTGCATTGTGTTACAAATTATTGGATAAATATGACCTGCACTATTTTATACAGCATATTTTGCTGGGTATGACAGCAGAGATGTGTCTCTTGCTAACATCCACCCTCACCATGTGACATTCTAGGACAAGAAGTAGAGGAGACAAATGGACATACAGGAGGTTCCCTCTGAACATCAGGAAACACTTCCAGGGCAACCAAGCCCTGGCAGAGGTTACCCAGTAGTAACCCAGTAGTGTATCCCTTTGAGATACTCACAAGTCATCTGGATGTGGTCTGGCTCTAGGTGACCCTTCTTGAGCAGGAGGACTGGACCAGAGGATCCCCAGAGATCAACCCCAGTCATTTTGTTCTTTGGTGGCTTCTACCTATCTTTGGGCCCATCTATCAGATGTATGTTGGTGTTACCCTGTTGTTCCGTGGTGGATAAAAATTTGTTGCTGGTATATGGCTCCATAAGTCAGTGAATAAAAGGGCAGGGCCCTTCCAGATACTGAGCATCTCAGTTCAGTCCTACCAATAATAATGCACACCTCTAGGAATAATTTTTAATGCCTGTGAAATGCCTTTGAAGAGTGTCTTAGAAATGCTGCCACTTAGAAATGCAGCAATTTAAAGTTACTTTCTGCTTGTGTACTCAAAAGCAAGGTGGGAGGTAGGAGAGAAGGGAGCTATTTATCCCCTTTGATAATATGTCCACAGTTTTGGTGTCCTGTGTTGGGATACATTTCCTCTGGTTTTTGCTTGCTAGTCAGATGCTTCACAGCCTTCTGTCTAAAAAGGTACATCTAATGGCTTTTCATATCTGGAAGGCCACCTCTTTCCCTCTACATTTTCTGATAGGAAATGGGGTGGTTCACCAACAAAGAATGATCTGAGACTTCAAGTTTCTGGATTTCCTTCTGTGTTTGCTTTATCACTGCTATAACAATGCTCTTGGTTTCTACTCTGATGGCTGGAATAGGTTTAGGGCAAACCTATAGGAACATGTCTGTCTGCTTACAAATCCTTGCAACCATCACAGATAGTGGTCAAATTTGTAATTGATCCTGTTCTGCTGCTTGGTGCTTCTCTCACAGGCCTAGGCAGGGAATGTGTGCATCACCTGGTGATTTTCCTGAACTATCAGTCTTAACCATAGTTACTCATTTCTCATATGCTCCCTGCTTCACAGCTGGTTTGTATGACGGTGGTTGAGTGGTCGAAGTCCTTCAAACCTAGAAATATAGCATTATGCTTCTGAAACGAATTTAGCAATCCTTTTTTTTGAGATAGAGGAATGGTAGACTGAGGTCCCATGTAAAAAGACATTAACTTTTTACAGGATGTACGTAAGAGGAGCTGCTGGTATTTTAAGAATTAATGTGAAAGTAAAAGATTATGAAATAGGACAGAGGCAATTCTGTGAAGTTCCCTTAATTCCCTTAGAGGAGAGTGAGTATGTCTTCACAGGAAAAAAGCCAGTTAGACACAAATCATTGTGGATAGTGTTGAAGAGTGGCTGAGCAGAGTGCTTGTTTTGCTGGTACACCACTTCCTTGGGCAGCTGCACTGCCCCAGCGGAGGTTTTCCAGCTGGGCACACAGTCAAGCGTCATTGCAGTGTCAGCAACTGTGTGCCAGCTCAGATGCTACCAGTATATTTGTTAACATTGGTGTGGCCTAAGTGTATCCATAGAGGGTAGTACTAAAATCACAGCAATATGATTGTAGGACTCTGTTCATGGCATATTTTGTCGTGCCTTTTTAAAACCCCACTCTTGTCCATGTTATCGTGTGAAGCCTTCATTTGTGAAGTCCCATTGACTTTCCCAAGTGCAGAGCTAATTGCATGAGAAGGATCTAAGGGGTTTACTCCTTCTCTTGATACTTCAATGAAAATTAATTTCCTATATATTATGTATGAGTAATATATTTCTGTTTGTACATTAATATTAATGCTGCATATTTTTGAGCACAAATTCTATTCTGTAGGATTAAATTATTTTGGTAAGTAATAGTGCAGAATTCAGTTTGAGTTAAAAGTGGACAATTAAGGATAGGGGGAGGGTCCTGAGTCACACTTTGGAAAGTGAAATTAATCAGCATTAATTCTCCACAGAGTGGGAGAAAAGTAGTTGTAGTGTTTAAATTAAAAAAAAAAAAAAAAAAAAAAAAAAAAAAGTATATAAAAAGCTACTGATTTTGTCTTTCTGTTAAAATCCAGAGAGCTTTTACAAAATCTGTGATGGAGAAAAGAGACAAGAGTATTCTCTTGTGTGTACTTGCAAACTATTAATTTTATTGGCCTACATCTGTTGCTGATTGTTGGTGAAGAAAGTAGTGGCTTTATTGAATGACAGTCTGTCTCACTATGCCTTTTTTAAAAAACAAAGCAAAACCACCCAACTTCTAAAGGGAAAAAATGTCAGCTTACTCAGAATATCTGCTTTTTGAGTCTCAGACCTGCCAAGTCAAACTATTGCCTTTTCTTTGATGCCACTTCATCTGCAGAATTATCAGTGTAATGTTGGTCATTGTTCCTCCTCAATGTCCATAGCCACACAGCGCTCTGACACAGATGCTGAGTGTTGGGATGCCTTTGGATGGTTTAACAGCTCTAGGGCTTCAGAGAGTCTCATTGCCTTTGGTTTTAAGCGCAATGTAAGGGGACTGAAAGGGATGGGGATGCTGACAGAAAGTTCAGTTGCTGGCACAGTCAGCCCCAAATTCCTGAGCACTTCTCAGCAGATACATGTGCACTGCTCAGAGACTCAGCCTCACCCAGGATCAGGCCCTCAGACAGAAAGACAGAAAGAACTGTATTTGCTTATCAGATCCCCAATCAAATTCAGAGTACTTTCAGCTTCATAAACTTTTTAAGTCTATCATGAAGTAATTGAGAGAGAAAATAAATACACAGCCATGTGCTGCCAGGTTTTAGAGTTACTTTTCTGACAGGTATTTCACTGAATTTGAAAGGCCTAGAGAGAGTTAAAGGATTAGACATCTCAAAGGGAAGAGATGCAGCTCTTGAATGTGGCATGATGTGTTTTTTTCTGTGTGGGAATGTGAGACATTGCAAGCTAATGCTCTTCGTCAGCTAGGGGAGGGAAAGGTTTGTAACTAAGAGACATTGAAGACAGACGTGATTAAATACAGAATCCAGAATAAAGGTGAAAGACAGAACAGCAGACCATGATTTCAAGCAGAATAGAGAAGTAAGGACTGCTAACATCAACATTTGTATTTCTGACTCAATATATTTTCTGTATGCAATAAGTAACCATAACAAAAGAAATGAGGAAAAATAACGTTCCTTTCCATTTTTCATTTTGTTTACCTTATGGGATTGATTGTATTCTTTCCACAAGGCATGTACACTCAGACTCTGTTATAATTTAGGCACTGATAAATGAAAACAGAACAGAAAAATACTTGTAAAATCTCCATGAACGTGTTTTTAAAAGTAATCAGGAAATACTAATTAAAGGGTTTTGTGTGAGCAATTACAAGAGTTGGTGATTAGTCAATTAAAAAGAAAAAAGCAAGATGACAGTGCCCCATAAGCAAGATAAATAACTAACTATACAGTGAAACTGGTTAACATATGCTTAGTTTTCTAAGAGCTTAAGGTTGACAAAATAAGCATCCAGGAAGGTAAGAAAGAAATCCTTAATTAAGGTACTGTCAAAATTAATCTGAACTCTGATGAAAAATGGCTAAATGGACAAAGCTAGGACTGTGGTTGCTCTTGTGTGTCATGAAGGGCCAAGCACACTGCTAATGCTTGATAAAATAACTATGTTAAAAAAATCAGCTGGCAGCATTAGGAGTTAGCGCCGGCAAACTGTTATAGTTAATGTGCAAGTTTTAAGTGTCTTAACTTGTTATTTTCAAATGATTTTTTGGATGCTGTTCACTTTTTCTTCTCAGGCTACTGTTCTGTGAGTTTAAAAGGTTGAATTAACTCCACCCTTTAGGCGAGGGAAACTGAGTGAATGACTGATATGGGAGAAGGGAATTAGAGCATGTGAGAAGTGTGGTATCACTCTTTTTTGGCAACAGCAGGTTGTCTCAGCTCTGTTATTGATCCATATACTCAGTCTGTGCTAAAACTGAGGGGAAAAAGCCTTGAAAGTCCCCTTCGGTAGTGTGAGAAGGGCAAATAATGTAATTAGGTGTAAACAGGAGGTTTTCGGTGGGGTAACAGGTACACATCAAACCCATTTTTGATCGGGCAAGGAAAAGAAGTGTGAAAGGAGTATAGAACAAACTAGGGATGCCTGCAAGCCTAAGACTGTAGATACCATGCATTAGAAGCTACAAGTGATATTTTGGTTATTTCGTATAGAGAATTCAGTTAAAAGGGGCATGCGTACAGGAAATCCAGAAATGGTATATGTAATCAAGAAAACCAGTACTGTTAAACAATTGCTTTGTGACTGAGCTAGTGGCATATCCTCCCCATGGAGAAGAATGAAGTACAGATTAGAGGTAATATAATGGAGTATAATACACAATAAATGACTTACAAAAATATCCATTCCAAAATTCTCAGTGAAAGGAGCTGAAGATAAAAGGAAACATTAAGCAGATAAACTTGCAGTCTTTAAGAAGCATCAACAACCTGGGAAAAGGCCACTAAACAAGCATTTAACAGGGAATATAAGGCTTATGCATGAAGTTGCTGGTTTGTGAGCTTGATTTAAACAGTGAGG